CCCCCCCATTGAGAGACCACGCCCCTCCCACAGACCCTCCTTACCACCACCATTCCTCCCTTTTCCTCCTCTATGATAAGATCACGCCTCCTCTTACCCCTTCATTAAATAAGACCTCCCCTTTCCTCATCTATGATAAGACGGCGCCTCCATTGCACTATCTATGATAAGACCACGCCTAACTCCTNACCACCATCGAAAGACCACGCCCACTGTGTGACCTTGACATTACCCCCACCATCGAAAGACCACGCCTCTCCTTACCCCATCTATGATAAGACCACGCCTCCCTTATCTTATCTATGATAAGACCACGCCTTCTCCTTACCCCCACCCTCATGAATGCGATCCTCCATTACCCCCACCATCGAGAGACCACGCCCACAATATGACCTTGACATTACCCCCACCATCGAGAGACCACGCCCACTGTGTGACACGCCCCTCCCCCCTACCACGCCTATACAGGTGGGTGGGTGAAGGGGTGAGGCGGGGGGGTTCTAGAACTCTCTATTTTACCCTACTATTGTATTTAATTTTTAATTTTCCAGAGTAGCTGAAGTGGTATCTTGATTTTACAATAATGTGTTTTTTATTTACAAATTACCCCCCGACCACGCCTATACAGGTGGGTGGGTGAAGGGGTGAGGCGGGGGGGTTCTAGAATCCCCTAAATTACCCTACTCATACATTTTTCCAAAAGTTATATAAAATATTAATTAAATAATATAAAATATAAAATCGAGAATTTTTTCACGGAAATCGAACGTTTTTCTTTAACTTTGATGTCCGTTTTCACCACGATGACAAGTCCAGAGGTCAAATTTTTTTTTTTCAAATTAAAGTATATTACATTAGCTTTAATTTAAGATATATATAAAAGTGTCAGTCTTTCCGGAACATTTTCAAAAGTTAAGTTGAAAAAGTTCTACTTTCTATACGCATTTTAAAAGGTTTGCACCCCCCCTGTATAAAGGGAAATGGTCCGATTTTAAAAAAAAGTATGTCGAATGAAAGAAGTATATATAAAGTATTTATCATTAAAGAATAAAGTTGATTCATGCATTTTTTAAAAAGTTATAGCAACATTTTGTTAAAAAATGTAAAATATAATATCAAGAATTTTTCCACAAAAATAGCATATTTTTGCATACGGTAGTCATTTTCATCACTTTGATGTCCGTTTTCACCACGATGACAAGTCCAGAGGTCGAATTTTTTTTTTTCAAATTAAAGTATATTACATTATCTTTAATTTAACACATATATAAAAGTGTCAGTCTTTCCGGAACATTTTCAAAAGTTAAGTTGAGAAAGTTAATTTTTTGTAAAAAAGTTACCATTTTGAAACCCCATCCTTTGGGCTGTTAAAGGGTCAAATGTTCACAAAAATATATAAAATGATAGGTAATTATCTAAGGTATCTATAAAAAAAAAAATTATATTGATTCGGTCATTTTTAAAAAAGTTATGGCAATTTTAAGTAAAAAAAATTGAAAAAATATCGAAAATTAGCGATTTTTAAATTTGTAATTTTTTGGGGGATTTCCCCCGTTTACGGGGAACGAGGGAATTTTTTTCAATTTTTGAGGGTAATGTCTTCGACTAGATACGATTTGTGATCTTTTGACATATTGTTCATCAAAATCGGTCCAGCGAGAGCTGAGATTGAGCGTTCACAGACACAAAAAAAAAAATAAAAAAAAAAAAAAAAAAAAAAAAAAACACATCATAGTAAAATTAATACCTTCTCAGCTTCGCATCGAAGCTAATAATTACTATGATTTCAATTAAAATTATTAATTATGATTAAAATGCAAAAAAAAATAGTGATTTTAACATAATATTGAGCTTTTCACATAAACTTACAAATAATTGTATTTGTTTTTCTTGTTTTTATATATATACATGTAAATACTCGTTTTTTACTAATTATAAATAATCCCAAAAATATGTGATAGAAAAATCCAGTACAGGGATTTTTTTTTGTAAAACAAAGTACATTACGTTAGCTTTAATTAAAGATATATATAAAAGTGTCAGTATTTCTGGAAAACTTTCAAAAGTTAAGTTGAAAAAGTTAATTTTTTGTGAAAAAGTTGTCATTGTAAAACCCCCCCTGTGCATAGGTCTAGGGTCAAATTTATAAAAAAAATATACCAAATGATAGGTAAAGACATTAAACATCTACAAAAAAAATAATTCTATTGATTCGTTCATTTTTGAAAAAGTTATGGCAGTTTTAAGTAAAAAAAATTTCGAAAATTAGCGATTTTTAAATTTTAAATTTTTTGGGAGGTTTTCCTTATTTACGGGGAACAAGGGAAATTTTTTCAATTTTTGAAGGTAATGTCTTCGACTAGATACAATTTGTGATCTTTTGACGTATCGTTGAAAGAAATCCGTTTGGTAAGAGCTGAGAAAAAGTGGTAATAGACACAAATTTTCGAAATTATTTCAATTTTTTTACTAAAAACTGCCATAACCTTTTCAAAAATTAACATATCAATATAATTTTATTTTTATAGATGCTTGATGTCTTTACCTATCATTTAGTATATTTTTTTTGTAAATCTGACACTTAACCTGCACACAGGGGGGATTTAATATGACAACTTTTTTACAAAAAATTAACTTTTTCAACTTAACTTTTGAAAGTGTACCGGAAAGTCTGAAACTTTTATATATATCTTAAATTGAAGCTTATGTATTATACTTAAATATTAAAAAAAAAATTCGGACTTTATTTTGTCTTTGTGGTGAAAATAGCTACCGTATTCAAAAATTTGCTATTATTGTGTTAAAATTCTTGGTTTTGTATTTTATTTTATTATAAGGGGATTACGCTGATTTTCATAAATATTATATTAATCTAATTGACATAGTATAAAAAATTAAACATATCTAAATTTTTTGTTTCTTTGAAGTCAAGAAAAATAACTTTCAATGATACGTAAAAGATCACAAATCGTATATAGTCGAAGACATTATCCTCAAAAATTGAAAAAATTTCCCTCGTTCCCTGTAACGTAAATTTTATACTTTATTTTGTCTTCATGGTGAAAATGGCTACCGAATGCTATTTTTGTGTGAAAATTCTCGATTATCTATTTTACATTTTTAAATTTATTATGCTATAACTTTTTGAAAAATGTATGGATCAATACAATTGTTTCAAGTAGTATTTATATGCATATTTCATTTGACATATTTTTTTTTAAATCAGACTATTACCTTATATACGGTATGTGTTCAAATCTGAAAAATGCATATAGAAAGTAGAACTTTTTCAACTTAACTTTTGAACGTGTTCCGGAAATACTGACACTTTTATATATATCTTAAATTAAAGCTAATGTAATATACTTTAATTTGAAAAAAAAAAATTTCGGACTTTATTTTATCTTCACGGTGAATATGGCTACCGAATGCTTTTTATGTGTGAAAATTTTCGATTTTGTATTTTACATTTTTAACTTTATAATGCTATGACATATTGAAAAGTGTATGGATCAACATTATTTTTTTATGAGAATTAATATTTTTTAATAATCCCTTTTTCATTCTACATACTTTATCTTAATGAGGATATTAATAATGAACTAGCAGATCATGTAGCTTTTGGAATAGTCCACCAATTTTTTAAAATTAAACAGTATCTAAAGATTTGCATCGAAGCGTTTTTTTTTTATAGTGATTATAATCACTGTCAGATATCATTATACTTGATCCAACTATGCCACGTCACCACTGTGCCGTGACCCCCCTGTGCTGGGTTTGGTTTTGTTAATTTAAATTATAACCAAAAGAAAAATAAAAACATGCTAATATGTATATTATTTTATATGGTAACAATAGTTTTAAATTAAAGTTGAAGCTACATTTTAATTATCGAATTAATGACTCAATATCTCAATTTCGTGAGATTTTGATCCTCGAATAAAACTATAGCAGATTTTTTTATTCTTAAATCAAATTTGAATTAAATTTGATGCATTGTGTAAAAATGGTATATCTATTTAAGTTAAAATAAAAAATAATCTACTTTTTAATAAGCATTTAGATAATCCTCAAAATGAATTTTCTAATTAGAAAAAATTAAAAAATTAACTTTTATTAAAAATTAAATAATATAGTTTTACCTCGTCCAAAGGTGGGCTTTCGAAAAGAAGTGCGTTTGATAAATTACTCGCTAGAAACATCATAATGAAAAAGTAAAAAAACATTATTGGTTCAATAAATTGAAGTTTTCGAATAAAACTGATAAGTAAAATCGTTCAAATGATAAAATTATTGAAATTCTATTTATTTTATAATAATATTATGTTGTTTTAGTGTTAAAAATCGTCATTTTAAAATAGCATAAAATCGTTTAGTAAATTTAATTTTGTTTTAATTTATAATTCTTATTTAAAACTGAGTAAATATTTTATTTATTGATAAAGGTGCAGTATCTAGTTTTGATATAATTATTTTATTATCATCATTGTACTAAAATATAATTTAAAAAACTGAAAAACATGCTTTTAAAGCATGTCGAACTAAAAAGTGAAAAATAATTTTTAAAATAAGCTTAATACAATAATGAACGAAAAATATTAGTATTATTGTGAAAAAAGCGTTAGGCGCTCAATATAAAAAAAATATGGCACAAAGATCCCACGGCTATTTTACTATTTAAAAATTTTCATTTTTAATAATAATGTAGAATTAAGAATATACAATTAATTCTCTTTTTTTAATTAATTTTAGTGGGCGTGTGATCGTCCTGTCGTTCAAGCCACGAGACGCCACTAATATCAATAGGTGTACATAATAGGTTACAACAGACTAGATAAGGCGACGACTATTACCGGACAGCGAACGGCTTCCCTACTATTATGTGTAACAGGTTTCATTTGGGTTGGAAGTTGAACGCGGCCACATATAACTCGCCGCAACAAATATTGTGTCTTCATAAATATCAGTTAATGATATCTTAAGGTTTACTTATTTTTAGGAAACATGGTACTGTTATTAATTGGTAAAAATCTGTGTTTATCCCTAGTGCCGAGAATAATTTTATACAATTTAAATCTCGTATTATGTTTTTTCATTTTGTTGTACTTTTAGACCATGTTCAGAAAGTCATTAAGGTTTGAAATTTCACATAATTTTTTTTTTTTTAATGTTAAATTTAAGTTATAATAAGGTAAATTATAAAATTTTAATTCGATTACGTTAATATTGAATAATCTGTGTGTTTTTTAACGTAGTGGCTATTTTTAACATTTTTTACATTGAAATGGCCATAAAAATTATTTTAATCTAACTATAGCATAAAGAATAAACCTTAAAATTCAAGAAAAACATGTGGTCGCCGTGCAACCACTTCTGGAATATTTGACATGGATTGATCCTAAGGTAATTATATAATTTAAAATAAAATACAAATCATATTTAAAGTGCATATAAGTCATAATACCCAAATATATTGTATTATTATTAAATGAGATTACACATTATTAATTTATTAAATGATCATTTTTTAAAAATATGACAAAATAAAGAACATTCTTGCTATTGAAAGCAAATCAAAAATGTAAAAAATTCAAATTTTAAATCCCATATACTAAATTTTTAGCTTCGATGTGAATCTGAGTAAGTATTAATTNCTAAATTTTTAGCTTCGATTTGAATCTGAGTAAGTATTAATTTTACTAAGATGGGTTTTTTTTTTGTTTTTTATTTTTTTATGTCTGTATANTGATGGGGTTTTTTTTTGTTTTTTTATTTTTTTATGTCTGTATACGCTCAATCTCAGCTATCACTGGATCAATTTTGATGAAAGATATGTCAAAAGATCACAAATCGTATCTAGTCGAAAACATTACTCTGAATAATTGAAAAAAATTCCCTCATTCCCGTAAACGGGGAAAATCCGCCAAAAAATTACACANTATTCCCGTAAACGGGGAAAATCCACCAAAAAATTACACATTCAAAAATCGCTAATTTTCAACATTATTTTTATTTACTTAATAATTTTTACTTAAATTTTTTTTATATTTAAATACTTATTTTTTAATAATAAGTGATAATATTAAAACTTAGAAGTAATAAAAAAAGTTTAATTGCACATTTAAAAAACATTGCAAAAAGTTGATTTAGAAAAGTATATTTTTGTTTCTGATGAAAGTTCCTTGTAGTCTATTGTATTTATTCATAAATAACAACATTTTTTTATTAAAAAGTATTGCATCAATCCCTTTAAATTTTTATACGCGTTAATAGTATATGAACATACAACTCCTTTTTATTTTTATAATATCTCCGTAAAAATTACAATATTATCTTCGATGCGAAGCTGAGAAGGTATTATTTTACTAAGATGTGTTTTTTTTTTTTTTTTTTTTTTTTTTTTTTTTTTTTTTTACTTTTTTTTTATTAAAAATAAATAAGTCTTAATTTTTTTTTTAACTGAAAATAATCGCTTATTGTAACAATTGTAAGAAATTTCGCTTATTAGATTAAATAACGNGATACGTCAAAAGATCACAAATCGTATCTAGTCGAAGACATAACCCTTCAAAATTGAAAAAATTTCCCTCGTTCCCCGTAAAAGGGGGAAACCTCCAAAAAATTACGAATTTAAAAATCGCTAATTTTCGAAATTTTTTCAATTTTTTTTACTTAAAAGTGCTATAACTTTTTCAAAAATGAACATATCAATATAATTTTTTTTTACATAAATGCATAATATTATTACCTTTCATTTGGTATATTTTTTTCATTAATTTAATCCTTAACCTGCTCACAAGGGGGGATTTAAAATGACAACTTTTTCACAAAAAATTAATTTTTTTAACTTAAATTTTGAAAATGTTCCGGAAGGTCTGACACTTTTATATATATCTTAAATTAAAGCTAATGTAATTTACTTTATTATGCGAAAAAAAAATTTCGGACTTTATTTTATCTTCACGGTGAAAATGGCTACCGAATGCTATTATTGTGTGAAAATTCTCGATTTTATTTTTTACATTTTTAACTTTATAATGCTATGACATATTGAAAAGTGTATGGATCAACATTATTTTTTTATGAGAAATAATATTTTTTAATAATCCCTTTTTCATTCTACATACTTTATCTTAATTAGGATATTAATAATGAACTAGCAGATAATGTAGCTTTTGGAATAGTCCACCAATTTTTTAAAATTAAACAGTATCTAAAGATTTGCATCGAAGCGTTTTTTTTTGATAGTGATTTTAATCACTGTCAGATATCATTATACTTGATCCATCTATACCACGTCACCACTGTGCCGCAACCCCGCTGTGCTGGGTTTTATATTATTGAATACCACTTTCATACTAAATTTAATTACTATAATTATTATGTATTCATATATTATAATTATAAATCGGGATAAAATTAAGGGAACAAGAGTTATAGTTGCTTTTGAAATAACTACCAATTTATTAAATTATCTACAGATTTGCATCGAAGCGTTTCTTATGATTGTGATTTTATTCACTGTCAGATATCATCTATACTTGTCCCATCTATGCCACGTCATTACTGTGCCGCGACCCCACTGTGCTGCCGTTTTTCTTTAATAATACAGATAATTTTATTTGCTAATAAATACTTTAGTCTTTAATTATGTTCTAAAAATATATTATTTAATTTAAAAAAATGATTATTGATTATTAGTTAAAAGTAAAAAATGTTAATTAAAGCAACTTCCAAAAAAAATTCAATAACAGCGAGAATGTATTTCGAAAACGATGTTTTCAACATAAGTGACAAACCAATATTAATCTTAGATCAGCATTAAGTTTTACACTTGGTTTTAACCACATCAAAACAGTAAAATAATTTTTCTAGAAATTATAATTTTTTATTTGTATAAATTATTATTGATTTATTTATCATCCACTAGAATCACTAGAAAATGATCCAATAAATTTTACCCAACATAAATAAATTTATTGAAAATGAATTAAATAATAAATGAGTAAAATATTTTCAAATGAAAATTCAAAAAAATAACTCGAAGCATTCAATTTTTTATAATAATTATTTATTATAGAATATTATATAAAATATATTTCGGCCAAAGCAATTTTAGTGATTAAAGTTTATTTACATTTTTGTAATTAACAAAATATATTAAGAATAATTTAAAGTAGTCATATACAGATAAAAATTTATACATAAAAAAAAATTAAATTTAAGTTATACAAAAACAAATACTTTAGAAAAATCAATAAAAATACTATATGTTGTACATTGAAATGTATATAATCATAACACAATGATTTATACCTTACTTTTTAGTAAAATATGTCACCCACGGCAAGCTGTGGTAAAAATAAAATAATTGTAAGCTATTTATATCATTTCAAAAGTCGGTGGTATGTTTATAACGGTAAAATATTGAAAATTAGAATATGTGAACATTTGTCTTTATCGATATAATGTGAATAGTTAGAAGAATTGGCTGAATTATATATTAAAAAGAATAGTAATCAGCATATTCTGCATACTTGAGATGTTTTTTGTTCGTGTAAAGTTTGTTGTCACTAGATTAGAGTTTCGTGTTCATGTTGAAAATTGCCTCAAAAACATGTTGAGGTCGAATAATTTTCCAAATTGTATCAACTAGAAAATTAATTGATAAACATTAACTACAACTGTGATTTACCAATAGAATTTAGATTAATTTACCACGTTTCGACCTGTAGTTTTAGGCACGTGCAGTGCTACGCTGGGAGCAATACTTATCAGCAGGTCTAAGAGTTTTTTACTGCCTTCTTCGTACTCCTTACACAAATTTTTCTCGAGACTGTAAACTTCGTTTTTCTTATACGAAGGGCTGCCCCATATGGGAGACGTCACTATGACCTGTGGCTTATATTTTTTTGATGTTTTACAATCGCGAAGAAATCTCCATGTATAAATGTAACTTTGTCCCTGACTCCATAAATCTCTGCGTTTCTTTTGGCGAATTCAAATTTTTTAGTATTGATATCCTTAGCGATCACTCACGTGTATCTCTTGGCCAATTAGATGACGTTTCCACCAGCACCACAAAACGAATCCATAGCGACGTCTAGACCTAGTTATCTTAACGCTATATGTGTGCTTAAGATCTCGGGACAAACGGAATAAAATGATTCTGAAAAAAATAAAATATTCAATAGTAAAATACTAAAGTTTTCTTAAGTAATTATTTTATTATAATTGTCCGTCATGATTCCTTCGTCGAATTTAGAGAAGAATTAGTAACTTTTATACCTTAAATGTTTTTTAGTATCATAAGGACGAATTCTAGTAGCAGATTTTTTGTTATTAGTATTTTCATGTCGTAAAGTTATATTTCTTTAGTATTTTCTACGGCTTCTGATGTTTTAATAATTTCTGTTAATTTTTTAGACGGTTTTCTATTAAAGTTGTTAGAATTATTTATTAAAGTGTTGTTTTCTTGAGTTGATGTGTTAATATTTCTTGGCAAATTTTAAATGGTTGAGGTGAAATTTTGCTTTTTTACTGTGATATGTTCGTGTTAATAGAATTATTGGCTAATACGGAAATGTCTGTATATTTATTGGCTGGCTATTTTTCAATTCCTATTTGTATAATAATTTTTGAGTTCAGTTTTTTAATCGATTCAATTAGTTTTTCATTAATGAAATGTTCGCATAAGGTGTTATTTTTCGGTTTTAATAATCGTAGTTAACGCAAATTTATTTTCCCTGAGTGGTTCTACTACAAATAATTCATTTGTCAAAAAAGATATTTCCAAATTATTAGGATGTGTAGTCAAATCCATGCAAGTATTCATAATAGGTTCTACTGTTTTAGTAAGTTTTTTCTTCTTAGAAAATTTCATTTCCAATAATGTCTGTAGCGACACTACTGCCAGTGCAATAAACATAATATCTCTGATTACTTGAATTGGAATTATGAAATATATGACCAACGTCGTTATCACGAAAAATAAATCCGAATCCATTTTTCTTTTTTTTTTTTTGTAAATGTATACACTCAAAATTTGAAATTTTTATGTCATACTCTTGTTCAAATTACTAAGTTCTTTACCCTAAATCTAGGGGAAAATGAAATAAAAAACTGGTACACTAGTAGTATGGGCGGTGATGTTCTATTTTTATAATTAAATTAACTAATAACAAATCTAAATTTAAATTAGATAATTTTGCCTGAAGTACAATAAAAAAAAATGTCAGTCACAAATCATACATGTTCAAAAATACTATAAAGATTACAAATTCTTTTATATAATATATCTCAAGTCATAGTCAAAATTATTACAAATTATTAAATGATCTAAAGGACAAATAAAATAAATAGAAAATGAGGGAGAAAATAATCTCTGACACTGCTTTATTGACTATGTTCTATTGGACCAAAGACTAGGAACGTATTTTGTAATATTTAATATAATAAAATGGTTATCACTGCAATAATTTTCAAACGAATAACTTGACATCGGTCAATATAGATCTAGGTCTTTTATACAGAGTCTTGAGACTACTAAGCATGTCTAAATTGGTCCAATATAGGTGAGGTTTTATTACACTCACATCACAAAAATAATTAACGTACTAAAGAAAACAATATTTTACAACAAACAATTTACGAATAGTTAATGAGCAAAAATGTGTCAGAAAGAGAAGATAGAATAGAATAATCATATTAAAATAATTAAAGTATATTAATGTAATTAAAGTTCATATTCAAAGAAACCTCGTGACAATGCACGAATACAGAAAAAAACGAATGGATGAAATAAAGAGACGGGAATGTTGTACAAAGTTACCAAAATTATAATACCAAGATGTCCAGGCCGTAGCCAACAAACGAGTCTTCACTCATGGCTCAATTGCAAGGGCCAAAAGTAGAAGTTAAGCAGCCATTAAAATGTAAGTGTACTTAGCAATAATAATGGCTGGAAAAAATTTATTTCACGACCAGGCCAAAAACACATTTGAACAAAACGAGAATAAACGACTGAATTATTTAGGACGATTTAATTTAGTTATTATTGAACTTTAATGTTCTAAATTATTTTTGATTCCCCACGAAATTAATACTACCTAGACAATCACACCGCATTACCAATTGCTGAGCAGTTACACTTAATTATATGATGTTTACCAATAACTAATAATTTAATTAACTTATTGTGTTAAACAATACGAATAATGAATAGGTCAATTTTTTACGTCACAAGGTTTTGTGTAATACTAGAGCATATGCCAGCTAGTAATTTGAAGCAAAATCCAAATGTTTCATATAGTATAGTCATATTTAATATTGTATTAATAAATATGATGATTAGTTTATATAAATAGAAAATAAACCTAAACAACCACCAATAATATTACCAAAGCTAATAAACCATAGTTTTTCCATTTCTTTTTTAACTGACAAATTAATGACGCAGGGCCAGAGTATATAACATTAAATTCGTTTTCATCACAATTTGTGGAGGGTTCATTATGATCCCATGTTGTAAGTACGTATTTCATGTCTATTCCATGATAATTTGATAATTTAAGACGCGTACTAGTAGGTAAAATTAAAAGATCATCTTTCTAATTACCAACTGTATACCCATTTGATAATAATATTTTAAATTTTCCCTGTAAAATGACATTTATATAATTAGTTATTTCGTTAGAGAATGGAAAACCTACACAACCACCATTTGCTATGAACGATCCAGCAAATGTTGTGTGAAATTACTTCGTTTAAATTACTATTAGTCCTGTTATTACTTTATTATTATTTAATTGATAATAGATTTTATAGCATAAATCTGCAAATTGTGGTATGCTATAAACGCCTTCACTAATAATAAACATAAAAAAAACCCAGCACAGCGGAGTCGCGTCACAGTGGGTACTTGGCATAGTTGGGTCCAGTATAGATTTAATCTGACAGTGATTAAAATCCCTATCATAAGAAACGCTTCGATGCAAATCTGTAAATAGTGTTAAATTCTAAGAAATTGGTGGATAATTACAATTCCCTATGCGTGGAATACACAAGTGTTACCGATTCGGCAACTGTTCGCCGCTTTCGTCGCATGATAAAATTAGCAATTTAAGCTAACTCAAATTTAAAAGTTACTTTTTGGACTTTAAAAAAACAAAAAAAATTTAAAAGTTTAATTTCTTATGTCTTATGAACTTTATTTTATGTCAATTAAATTATATAATATTCATGAAAGTCAGTGTATTTCCCTTATAAGATATTTTAAAATAAAACATAAAAGACAAACCCTGGATTTTTACACAAAAATAGAATATTTTTGAATACGGTACCCATNTAAAAGACAAACCCTGGATTTTTACACAAAAATAGAATATTTTTGAATACGGTACCCATTTGCATATAGAAGATAGGTCGTCGGCACAAAATTTTTTTTTTTAATTTTATAGTACATGACATAAGCTTTAATTTAATATATGTTAAAAGGACGCAGTATTACCGGAACATTTTCAAAAGTTAAATTAAAAAAGTTCTATTTTTTATAAAAAATTTCAAGTTTTGAACGCTCCCGATTTAAGGAGAAATTGTCAAGTGAAAGAAATATATATAATGTGTTTAGAAAAAAAAATTTGTGTTGATACATACTTTTTTAGAAAATTTTTGAATCAAAATAATTAAAACCTTAAATATTTCCTTTTCATTTGATATCTTTTTTGTAAATCTAACACTTAACCTATTCAAAGTGTTGTATTTAAAATAGCAACATTTTTACAAAACTCATTTTTTCAACTTAACTTTTGAAAATGTTCCGGAATTACTGTGTCCTTTAAACATATATAAAATTAAAGCTTATGTCATGTACTATAAAATGAAAAAAAAAATTTGTCCCGACACCTTATCTGCTACGTGCAAAAGGCTGCCGTAGTTTAAAAAAACGCTATTTCTGTGATAATATTTTCGATTTTAAATTTCCAACTTTAAATTGCCATAACATTTCGAAAAATGTATGTATTAACACAATTTTTTTTTAATTACATTACATATATATATATATCTTTCATTTGACATATTTTTTATTTAAATTGGACAATTGCCTCTGACAAAAATAAATTCGATTTTTTTTTAATTTGTGAATTTTTTAATGTGACTAAAGTAAAATAGAAAGAAAGAATTTTGAGAAATAAATTATTGTTATTACTGTCATAATTTCTTATTTCAATGTATATATAGGGCCAGTGGCGTATTTTGAAATTTATAAGGGATAGATACAAAAATGTTCATAAATAGAGTATCATAAAACGTCTATTTTTTTTGTTCATAACTTTTGTTAACATATATTTTAGATGTTTTTGAAAAAATCTGTTATTTGTTTTGAATCCATTTTTATTAATAAAACCATTTCTTTTTATACAGAGTGTATCTCTACGTAATAAACTCTTCAAAAATAGGTGATAACATTAATGGAATAACTGTGCGGTCGTCAAATTTGGATCAAGAGCTAATTATATCGATTAATCGATGTTATTATCGATAGCCAAAAAATAACTTTTTCTAATAATATTATATATTATTACATTTCTTGATGAAATAATTACATGACTCAATCAATGGGGGGCATGTGCCCCTGTGCCACCCCCTCATAATTCGCCATTGTATAGAGTGTTTAGTAAATAAGAAAACGGGTTTCTATTGTTCTCAATATTAGTAACAATTAACCTGTTTCCTTACGTACTATACACTCTGTAATTTTGAAGTCGGTTCAGGTGTTTTATATAATAATAAAACATACATTATAATACATATTATATATAAATTTAATATTTAAATTTAAATTATAATTATTATTATTTGAATCTCTTTTACGTCAATGATTATTAAGGCTGGATATTAACACAATAAAAAGTTAAAATTAAGCTTATATGTATGAAGTGAAATATTAAGTGAAATGTTATTTTCTTTAAAGTTTTGACTTTCAAATTAACTAGTTGCTTTTATTTGAATAGTATAATAATTCTAAGTTTATACTATACTGTATTATCAAAATAAAGTTAAATTTGTGTTTCTTGACTCAAACATTTTTTTTTCTAAATCCCTGACTTTCTTGTAGTATAATAATTATTTAACCAGATGGTTACGGCACCCAAGTGACTATAATTACTTTATTAACAACTAATGATTTTTTTTTTAATTTTATTATTTTTAAACGTTTAATGAATAATTGAACATTTTATATCTACTTCGAAAATCTTTAATGATTTAATTTTTTTTAAAGTTAAAACAATGAAAAATGTAATTTCATAAGCAAACGCGATGATCTTAAATTATTACTCTTCGTATATAGTTCTAGTTAGGGAGATGTTTCATTTATTTATTTTTATAAATTTGATTTATCGTTATGTAATTTTTATTTTATTTTACATTAACGCGATTATGACTTTTAGGTAAACTATTGGGCACCTACCAATTTAATATAATAAATAGTGTATAATAATTATAATCTAAAATGTAATATAATTATTATTATACTATAGATTTAGATGAGTTTTTTATTTTTAGCTTCGATGCGAAGCTGAGAAGGTATTAATTTTACTATGATGTGTATTTTTTTTTTGTGTCTGTATACGCTCAATCTCAGCTCTCACTGAACCGATTTTGATGAAAAATATGTCAAAAGATCACAAATTGTATCTAGTTGAAGACATTACCCTCAAAAATTGAAAAAAAATCCCTCGTTCCTCGTAAACGGGGGAAATCCCCCAAAAAATTACAAATTTAAAAATCGCTAATTTACGATATTTTTTCATTTTTTTTTACTTAAAATTGCCATAACTTTTTTAAAAATGACTGAATCATTATAAATTTTTTTTTATAGATACCTTAGATAATTACCTATCATTTTATATATTTTTGTGAACATTTGACCCTTTAACAGCCCACAGGAAGGGTTTCAAAATGGTAACTTTTTTACAAAAAATTAACTTTTTCAACTTAACTTTTGAAAATGTTCCGGAAAGACTGACACTTTTATATATATGTTAAATTAAAGCTAATATAATATACTTTAATTTGAAAAAAAAAAATTTGACCTCTGGACTTGTCTTCATGGTGAAAATGACTACCGTATGCAAAAATATGCTATTTTTGTGAAAAAATTCTTGATATTATATTTTACATTTTTTAACATTATGATGCTATAACTTTTTAAAAAATGCATGAATCAATTCTATTTTTTAACAATAAATACTTTACATTAACCTCTTTCATTCGATGTCTTTTTTTTCANTACTTCTTTCATTCGACATACTTTTTTTTAAAATCGGACCATTTCCCTTTATACAGGGGGGGTGCAAACCTTTTAAAATGCGTATAGAAAGTAGAACTTTTTCAACTTAACTTTTGAAAATGTTCCGGAAAGACTGACACTTTTATATATATCTTAAATTAAAGATTATGTAATATAATTTAATTTAAAAAAAAAAAATTTGACCTCTGAACTTGTCTTCGTGATGAAAACGGACATCAAAGTTAAAGAAAAACGTACGATTTCCGTGAAAAAAATCTCGATTTTATATGTTATATTATTTAATTTATATTTTATATAACTTTTGGAAAAATGTATGGATCTATATTATTATTTTTTTATAATAAATATTGATATACCCCTTTCATCTGGCACGCTTTTTTTGTAAATCGGATCATACCCCTTTAACAAGGGGGGTCAAAACTTTAAACATGCGTATTGTTACTACGATATTTTCAATTTAATTTTTGAAAGTATTCCGGAAATACTGACACTTTTAAATATATCTTAAATTAAAGCTTATGTAATATACTTTAATGTGAAAAAAAAAAATTTGACCTCTGGATTTGTCTTCATGGTAAAAATGACTACCGTATGCAAAAATATGCTATTTTTGTGTTAAAATTCTGGGTTTTGTATTTTATTTTATTTTAAAATACCTGACAAGGGGAGTACAGATTTTCATAAATATTATATAAATTAAAATTGATATAGTATAGATAGTTAAACTTATTTAAATATGTTTGTTTCTTTTAAGTCGAGAAAAATAACTTTGAAATTTGAACTAGCTTAAATAGCCAATTTTTCAACCGCCGGAAGCAACGTACGGTTGCCGAGTTGGTAAAATTTATGTTTTACACGCTTGGGGTACGAGGTTCCAACCCGCATATGGCAATGAATTTTTTGCATTTTTTCTTAATTCTTTTTAAGTTAGTATAAATTTTAACTCGTTTGATTTTTATCACATTTAGATTCAATAACTTCAATAAAGATCAAGGATCCCATCACTTTAGTCGCCCCTTGCAAGAAGAAATTTCTTATTCGTATTAAAATTATTTTACTATATTTTAAGTTTTCGCTTCGATGCAAAGCCGAGAAGATATTTTTTTGTGACTATCATTTATTTTCTCTGCTCTAACTTGACCTACTTTTTTCAACAATACGTCAAATTACTACAATTCGTATCTAGTTGAAGATATTACTCTCAAAAATTGAAAAAAAAATTCTAATTTATCAATTAAACAGTTAGTTATTACATCGTCTCCATAAAGACAATTAAAATCATTAATTTCTAATGTTTTCAAAATATTTATTAACGAATGAAGTTTGATATGATAGGTTTCAACTACAAAATTAAATCATTTTACTTTGTAATTTAATAATTTTTTTACTCTATTTGTGTGTGCTACTACTAGACTATAATATTACAATTTTTTTTTGTAACATGTTGCTATATAAATCATTTCTAAAAAAAATGATTGTTTTTTCTCCTGAATTAACAATTGATTTTTACAAATATAATCAAATTTTATAATACACTCAATTGAGTAAATCTTTTTAACAACTTTGTTTTGATTGGTACATTTAGTTAAAGTAAATCATTAAAATTAATTAAGTTCTCAATATTTCAATTATAGAATCTTTTCAACAAACAACAAAAGTTCCTAGGAAATTATTACTATTACTTCTATTTAAGTTATCTATTACCATAAAAATGCAAAAAAATATTGAGCTTTTCTGATAAATTTACAATAAATAGTAATTATAAAACTTTCTGACTGCATATTGATCTTAACGATACAATTTTTTTAATTGTCATAAAATTTTCTATTTAATTATGTCAATGTCAAACTTACCAATTGAGCTAAAAGTTATGGTAAAATAAATTTTTTTTTTTTATTATAAACATTTACAACAATCAACTTTAAACGATTAACAAAATAGGTTAAATATGTCATTTTCCTTATTTTTAACTTATTAATAATCAAATTAATATTAAATATTATATCAAATCAGTATTAATTTAAAACAATTTTTTTTGTTCTTAATTATTTTTTTTTATATGTAAAAACTATTTTTTAATAATATTAAAACTTAGAAGTTATAGAAAAAGTCTAATTGCACATTTTAAAACATCGCGAAAAGTTGATTTAGAATAGTATATTTTTGTTTCTGATGGAAGTTCCTTGTAGTCCAGTGTATAAAACTTATAACTTTGTTAATTGTTATAACTTTATCAAAAATGACCAAATCAGTATATTTTTTTTTATTTAGATGCATGTCTTTATCTATCATTTGGTTTTTTTTATAAATCTAACCCTTTACCTGCCCACAAGAGGGATTCAAAATATTAACTTTTTTTTTTTTAGTTAAAGTAAATCATTAAAATTAATTCAGTTCTGGATATTTCAATAGTAGAATCTTTTTAAATATCAAAAATTACTTAGAAATGATTACTATGATTTCTATTTAAGTGTTCTATTACGATAAAAATGCAAAAAATAATGAGTTTTTCTGATAAATTTACAATAAATAATAATTATAAAACTTTCTGACTGCATATTAATCTTAAAAATAACATTGTTTTAATTCTCATAAAATTTTCTATTTAATGATTCATTCTAGTCAACGAAGGAGTAATTTTGCAGAATAGCAGAAAAAATTCCCAACAAACTTTTTTTTTTTTTGTTTTAATTAGGCAATTGGTGGATTATTCCAAAAGCAACATCAACTCTTATTTCTTTAATTATATCATGATTAGTAGTTCTTTGATTTTAAAATATAATATATGAATATATACTAATTATAATTATTAAATTTAGTATGAAATTGATATTTAATATTGTAATTTAAACGGAGAAATTATAAAAATAATAAAGAAGTTATATTTTGCTTTACTTTTACGTGTATAAAAATTTAAAGGGCTTGATACAATAATTTTCAATAAAAACTGTTTGTTACTATAAAAAAATGCACTGGACTACAAGGAACTTTCATCAGAAGCAAAAATATACTTTTCTAAATCAAATTTTCGCGTTGTTTTCAAATCTGCAAGTAGACTATTTCTATCACTTCTAATTTTTTATATTATTACTAATTATATATATAAAATAATAATTAAAAGAAAAAAAAATTTGTTTTCAAATTATTACTGATTTGATTTTTAATATGTTAAAAATAATCAGTCCAAATTTTCAATTTTAACCTATTTTTTTGGTTCTTTAAAGTTGATGAAAAATTTTTGATAAAGATTTATGAAAGTTTATAGTAAAATAAATTGAATATATTACCATAACTTTTAGCTCAATTACAAGTTTAAAATTGACATCTAGGCCTGTCAACAAAGGAAAAATTGCGGAAAAAATTTTGTTTTTTTAAAAGTTGAATTAAAATATGTATAATGACATACTAATAGTCCTCAAGATTGGAATTGAGCTTTTTTTTTAAATCCTCGCA